TTGTCAAAAGTAACGTAACAGTGTAACATCATTTAGCCCGAACAACTTACACCTGACTGCACGCGTCCTTACAGTCGGCTTGGCCACATCTTATGTAAATCCATTCTACTTCAGGTCAGTAAAATTTTTTTAATAATTTTTATAAGTGTTATACAAAAATAGCGTTTGCATTGTTTATAATGTTACTTTTTCTGCAGCGATATAAGAATAATTGCATTCACTCGTCGTTCATATGCGGCTATTCTTATAAGTTCAAAAAAGAACATTAAAACTAATGGCATTTATACTTATTTGTACGCAAAGCGCAATTAATTTCCTGGCAATTCATTTGCTTCTCATCATCGACGATATCAACTTATACAAACAAAATTTGTAGTATTTTTTTTAGGTTATGAAAATGTTTCAATGGTATAATGTCAGAAGTAATGACTTACTCACATAACAGAATATTTTTGAAACTGCTTTACCTGAAAATGTCAATTTTCGATTTTTTGAGTTACTACAGTATTCCGGAAAAGCGACGACTTTTCAGTTTTGTGTTTTTTTGTATATTAAGAAATGGCCGTAAAATTAAATGCATTTTTATAAGAATGAGCCAAAGTGACAGTTCGCTAAACAAGTGAACATCACGTGTAATTCAGAGAAGTTACTCTCCGCGCGGCAGCTGTTCAGCCGCCCTTCTTATTTGTTTACGTCTCCCGTGAAGATATACAGACGTCTAAGAATTTCTCTCAGGTATATCCACGTTCGTGAGTCTGGGAATAATTGAAATATAATTACGTACGTGGGAATACGTCTCAAAAATGTTTCGTACAGCACTCTATTTTCGTCACACGAGGGCATCCCAAAAAGAAGTGTCGAAGCCATTTGCAAGTTAGCCAACTGCAAACGAACGAATGCAGAAAGGAGAGACAAATAGGCTCAAGAACACAACGTTCACAGAACCTTCAGTTGTGTTGCCAACACTAGCTCTCAAAACGGTGCATTCTTATAAAACTCGCTCTATATATTGCGACCTCATTTCGTGAAACTCTTGAGCAAAAGAAGAGCAGGGAATTCGAATATGCAATTTTGAAGATAAGTAAAAATTAAGCGAAACAGCTTATATTTTCAAAAAAATTGCACACGATCTTATTTAAATAATCTAATTTTGGAAAACAAAATTCATTTAAAAACACCATAATTAATATTGTAATTTTGTAATATTAAATTTTTGAATTTTCGCAAATGCAAGATATGAAAAATTCATACCTGCATGCCCGACTAGACATTTTTCTCCTTGTAATAAAGATAACTGGAGAGAAAATTAATAAAAATTGTATTCTACAAATTACTGGTGGGTTAATTATAATACACCTTAATGCAGATCGCTGGTTTGTCCGGTGTAATTAATTTTTTATATACTAGTTGAATTTTCATTGTTTGGCAAAGAAGTCTGGGACTTTAAACAATTAGTTTTAGTTTGTACTACTATTACAAGCAAATCAATCACCGATTAGTTCACTGATGAATTCAACAAAAGGATGCACAATTAATCACGACAGAAGACGATTGGAACTGTCGCAAGTCTTAAAACCGCACTGGTCAACTTTCGATGCTCTAGCCATCTCGTCTAAATCAGCATCATTTAGGATGTCCATGTCTTTTGAGGATATGAATTCCATAAGTCACCAGTGTAAACACACGCAATTAAATCACAAGGGAAGTTTGAAACCGAATATTTTATATGTTCGGAATTTATTTACCATGTTCGGCTATTTAGATAGGAAAAGAAATGCATCGTGTCTATAGTGAGTGTGTCCTTTCCCTAGTCTGGCCTGGCGTGGCCTGCCCTGCTTTGCATTACTTCGCCCTGCTCTGCCCTGTCCTCCTTAAAGAATAAAAAAATTCACACCTGCACGCCCATACTAGACATTTTTTCGCCTAGTAATAAAAATACTGGAGGGAAAATTAATAAAAACGCATTCTACATATTACTGGCGGGTTCATTGTAATACACCTTAATCCGCCCTGCTCCTTGCCACTGCCCTCATCCTGTGCTGCCTTCTCTGACCCGATGCTGCCTGCCTTACTGCCTGGTTGTGCTTAATGTAGACGATTCAAAAAACGCTTTTTTTATTATTATTGTTTAAATGCCATACGCTATTGTGAGCACGTGCAAACATTGGGGCCTTACAGTTCTCAAACAACACCTTATTTGCTGAGATTGTGTAGTTCATCTGGAAAAGGGATGTTTACATAACACGAACGAAAAATAACTTACATGATTATGATTTGAAAAAAAGTTGAATGTAACTGCCCTATTTTTGCCACAGCGGGCATAAATGTGTTAATTAACATATTGTCGAGCAATTTGCTGTTGTTATCGGGGTGAATAAGGTAATGAACCATCAGCCTGAAGCCAGCTGGCCCTTGCTGTCCAGAAATCGGCTAATGACTAATTTTTAATTAGAATAATTAATTAAAACTTCAAAGAATTATGTGTTTCGGTTGAATCAGCTAGGATGAGTTAGCCAAAACAGACGAAGTGCAATAGAGGCTAACTTAACATTGACATCGATATACTCCTGCGTGCATAGCGATTTCAATAGACAATAACCATAAAACATGGATATAAAAATGCCTCTTACAATATATATATATATATATATATATATATATATATATATATATATATATATATATATATATAAATAACACAGTAAATCATCCGATACCTACTTCAAATTGGTTCTTTGCTATAACGTTAGAGCACTAATATTACAAGAATATTAAAAATTATTTCAGCATTAAATGCATTTAATTCATATGACACATTTTTAATTGAATGCCATTTTAATAAAATACTATAGGAATGCAATTTGAAACAAAATTTGGAAGACAAACTCGGACATCTAGGGTGAATTTCCTGAACTAAGGTCGCTTCCAACATTGTCCAAAAGAGAGCGCAGCACTCTATCAACCTAAGCGAAGAACTACAAATGACAATGGACCCTACTTACCCAAATGTGAACAATATAGACAAATCTCTCTTTATTTAAATACCATGTTCCTTGAATACATTACAAGTTTCAAGGAAAATCAGCGATAAGTACATTTTGAATCTAGCAGTAGTTGTTTAGCGGAAACTGTTAGGGGAGAAATCAGGCTCACAATGTTGGGAGCAAACTCATCTTCCTATTTTTACACATGCGCGTCAGAAATCTTACGAAATATGCGTCCTAATGCTGATACTCTCTTTTTGAGATATTCATGCAACCCGACAAAGTTTCTTTTAAAAGGCTATAAAAATATATGGAGGTAGAATGTTGATATAACCATTCCGTTCGACAAAAAACGAATTTATTTTTCGCTGGTGGCCTTGTGAATAAATCTAGATGTGCGGTGTTTCAATGAACGATTCTTCCTTTTTTAACCAAGCACAAGAATTGTATGCGTCATCGCGTCAAGTCTTTTATCGCGAGTGTATCCTCACACGGATGATCGTTACCTGTACTCGACAAAGTTTCTTTTAAAAGGCTATAAAAATATATGGAGGTAAAATGTTGATATAACCATTCCGTTCGACAAAAAACGAATTTATTTTTTGCTGGTGGCCTTGTGAATAAATCTAGATGTGCGGTGTTTCACTGAACGATTCTTCCCGTTTTAACCAAGCACAAGAATTGTATGCGTCATCACGTCTTTTATTGCGAGTGTATCCTCACACGGATGATCGTTACCTGTAGCCTTGCACTTCTGTACACTGTGCGTCATTGCACCACAATTGCGTCGCATGCTGTGTGCTGCAGTCTGCCGTGAGTGGCGCTGAAGCATTTGGAACCGTTGAACTCGGATCGAACAACGTGGTCCTGTTGGAATTGATCCCAGTGCCTGGCTGCTAATCGCGGAAGTGCGGAAGTGGATTGCTACGAAGAATACCCATATATCCTTGTTTCTTTTGAAATTTAGGTAAACCGTCAAATGTTATGAATGTTAGCAAGTTGGTTGTAAGCATGTGTGTTAGCGGCATTTACTGATATCGGTCTGCGTTATGTCACAGATTCTTGTGTACTTTTTGAAGATACGTTTTCGATAGTTGCGAAATGTATTTCAGATGTATAAAGTCAACTTTTGTTACTTTAAAACAGCTCTCCACAGGCTGCTCTAGCATGGTTCATCGAGGTGCAGGTGTTATTGTAGTATGTGGGCCATCCGGTTCTGGGAAGTCAACCCTTCTGCGTCGATTATTTGAAGAATTTCCCGATAAATTTGGATTTTCAGTGTCTCACACAACTCGACAACCAAGACCTGGAGAAGAAGATGGAAAACATTACCATTTTACCTCTAAGGAAGTCATGCAAGATGCAATTGCAAAAGGAGAATTTTTAGAAACTGCAGTATTTTCCAACAATATGTATGGCACAAGGTAAGAAAATATGTCATTCATTTCAGTAATATTTCTCAATGAATCTTTAATTTGTCATACATGTACCATTGACTTCAGGTAAATATTTGGAACTTGGTGTATTAATTGTGATGTTTAAAAATTCTTTTTCTAATCGTTAGACCCATAAAATCTAATTTATTCACCTTATGACTCCAGCAGGAGTAATTTCATATCAAGGCATTTTTGATCGGCGAGACATTGCCCTTCTTTTACAAAAGTGCAAGTTTGGACCATCATCTGCACTCTTGGGAAGTCGAGTATAAATAAGTACTGTAGAAATTTTTAGTAGAGCAGTGCCATTGATATGAGTACAGCAATAATGTTTCTTCTTTCACTGAGCTTGTAGAGTTATACATGCGTTGTTAAATTTTGGCTTAATGGCTTAAATGTGGTAGAGTTTTGAATTATTGATTCTTACAGACTGGCCACAGATTATGAAGATGTGAATTGTGGTAGTTATTAAGTGGCATGTATTGAATATTTTCTCAGTATAATATTTTTATGAAATATCACTATGCTTCAAATATTTTGACACTTTACTGTGCCGTTTAAATTCATAAATATGCACTATTACACATACCAGTTACAGAGAAGCTGCTTGTGCAACAAACTCTGGAAATAAAAATTAAATATAAAAGTAGTTTGGTAATTTGGAAAATGGAAGAAAATTAATTTCTTGCTACAGATTTTAATAAAAATGATAAAAGCTGATATAATATAGTATATAATTAAAGTTTGTAAGTGTGTGTGTAAGACTGTCTTCACAAAATTGGATCCATTAGCACTGAGTTGACCTGTAGATAAAAAATAATAATTTTAAATCTTCAGAAGGAAAATAATTAATTTGATTGTTATATTTGTTAGTTGAGAATGCTCTTTACTCTAATATTATTTTATTTTTGTGCATGAAACTGGTGGAGGTACTGAATAAGAGTTTGAGGATTGAGATTAAGTAAAATTTAAATTGCATGACATTTATGATTTTGTATTGCACTTTATTTTTGTTTCTTTTAAAGTAATATAACTTTTGTAACTATTTATTTATTCCCTTCATTGTATCTTTTGAAAGTTAAAGAAGGGATAATCATTTCATATGGTTTTTATTTCTTGCTTTTTCCATCCAATTGACAAGACATCATAGTAAATTCTATCAAAAATGATTGTATTTTTTAGCAAGGCAGCTGTAGACAGGGTCAGTCGAAGTGGAAAAGTGTGCGTGCTGGATATCGAAGTTCAGGGTGTTCAGCAAGTGAAGGAAACTGATCTGAAGCCTTTGTACATCTTTGTAAAACCACCCTCTCTCATGGTCTTAGAAAAGCGCTTGAAGGATCGGGGAACCGAAACCGATGAAAGTTTGCAACGTCGTTTGGATACTGCAAAATCAGAGCTTGAGTATGGTAGGTCTCATTTTCTGATTGCATTATTATTGCACTTATTATGAAAAATTGTTGTTACTTAATCTTCAGATGAATACTTTATATCTTCATACAACCTGTCCACAAATTGAAAATAAAATAAGCTTTTTGAAAAAGCTTAGTCATTTAAAGCCCATGTTTTGCAAATTAGATTACTATAAGTATATAATGTTCTGATCAAAATTGAACAAAGTTTACAAAACTCAAAAGTTTGAATGAAAATGGAGTTGTAAACTGTATTATTAAGCACACTTTGTTAAACTTGAACTTTTGCAGTGGTTATTAAGGAAAAGTTTGGAAATGAAAATTATGAATTGAGATTAGTACCCTCAAAAATAAATATTTATTTCAAAATTGTTGGTTCTGAGATTGAGCCAGATTGACAGAAAAAAATCAATTTTTGTTTAAAAAAAAAAAATTGGAGTTTTGTGTTGATTAAGCCACCTTGACCGTTAAGCAGACTTCAGCCATTTTGACACCTTGCATTGTTCATTTCTGAAAGACAGCCTGGCATGTAGACTTTTTGAAAATAATTTTTAGTATTAGACCCCTCCCCCCCCTGCCTATTTTATAAAATTTCCACTGTACTAATTTACTATGAGGGAATTGTAAGTGCACTTCATTTTAATTATTATTCAAATTTAAAAAATTCATATTGAAAATTTGGAATTGCAGAAGATACTTTTTTCTGTTTTAGGGAGCAAACCTGGAAATTTTGATTTGGTGCTAGTCAACGATTCTCTGGAGAAAGCATATGAACAATTGCGAACTTTTATAATGAATGCATTTGACAAGCAAGGTATTTATTTTTCCTTACAATCCTTACAAAGTTTCATAATGTTTGTAAGGTTTCTTTTCATATGCTACTGTAAACCATTGGCGTGTATCTGACATAATTGAATGTTTCAGGTGAATGTTGTGATTAAAGTAACCTTTTGCAAGCAGCTGCATCATTGCTTTTGCTTGTGTTGCATGGATTGCATTTTGTCAGGATGTTAAACCAAATATAGTTTGAATAAGTAGTTGAAGAGATGTTAACCGTAACTGCAGGGTACGATGATATCCTGCATGTTATTCATCACCTTAGGCTCTGAGATCTTGTGATGAGAGAGAAACCCATTACCTGGATGAATTACAATGTACAAAATCGCATTTACAGCAAAGTTAATGCTAAATTTCTAGAGATACTGTGTTAACCTTTTGTTGTTGTTATTATGTTGTGTTAGTACTTAATTTTCTTCTTGTTTTACTGTTGTTGTTTTTCCTAATTATAATTAACTGATTTGTATTACTAACAGGTATTGAATAGTAGCTGTGAATGTTGTTTCTTTATGCGTTGCCTAACACTTAATCTCTTCTTAAAATTTGCCAAATAAGTGAGGTCCAATTTTTAACAATCATTCTACCTAAATGATGAATGTGGAATATTCCCTTTGACATATTGTAACCTGTTAATTTTGTAGGAATGGATCATTTCTATTTTGGAATAACATGCTTATAGCATGAGCATGTTGCATTTTCTTTCTACTTATTTTTGGAACCAATTTGTTGTGATGTAGATTTACTGTGTTTAGGCACCATTAACTTGATAAATATTACCTAATGTATTTTCTTATTAATCCTAGAAAAAAATTGTGTAATTCCTAGAGTCCATCCTTGAAAACAAAGTTTTAAAAACTTTTCATTGTAGAGTTTGCTTTTAATTTTGTATTATTTTTTCTTGCAGAATCGAGATACATCTGTGGTAATGTGTTACCTTTGATAACAGATTCACGTACAGAGAGTATCTCGAATATTTCAAATATTGACCAGACCATTTGTTAAAGAAATGAGTCAAAAGTTAATTTTTCAGACATGTTCAACTTGAGACAATTAAAATATACTGTAATTATAAAATTTCTTGTCTTGCAAGAAAGGCAACTTGGCAAGAAAGTAATTTAATCATTGATTACATGCAGCTCTTACGCATTAAATAATAATTACTTGCGGCTATTATGTATTTAGAACGCTTCCTGGCAAATAATTACTTTCTGAAGGTATTATTGTGAATATTGTAGAATTCTGAATTGACCAACTTTATACTACTTTTTTTAATTTATTGCTCTTCCTTGACTCTTCTTTTGTATTATGTATTTGGAAAGAATGCTTTAAGCTGCAAGCATGTGGCATAACATATTCAAAATGGAAAACCATCCAGGAAAGTTGAAGAGATGACAAGAAGATATGTTCTTCACCGTTGTTAATGTTGAAATGGATATGGTTGAGAAGTGTTTGAGAAGGATGACATATTTTTTTGAAAGTATTTTGTAAATGCTATTTTATTATATTAGAAATTGTAGAAAAGAAAATGCTAATATTGTGGCTTTTGTTAAATATGTAATGTTGCTTTGCAGTCACATAGTAAATACATTAACAAAGAAGTATGTTCCATAGGATAGGTGCTACAGAAATGTAGTATTATTGTATTTATACATTATTTTGATCTGTAAAGTGCATTTCTTTTTGTGACTGTTTTTACTGTGAAATATAAGTGTATACAATGTCTGTATTTGTATATTCCTTGTTTGTAAATTTCTTCAAGTATTAACTCCTGTTCCTCAACATTAGTTATTAATGAATCTTATCTTCTAAATAATGTTCATGATTGTGATGATTTTAACAAAAATCATGATTATAATGATTTTAAGGAAAAAGAAAATGATTGTTCAGCGATAAGGCTTAACATTCTCATCAACAAGACTATTTTCTAGTCAATAAGATAATATGTAATTTTATTTGGTCTAAATAGTAAGAATTAGTTAAAATTTTTAAAAATTATCAAAGGCCTCTTCAAAATCAGGGAATGACTTATATTCGGGTAACTATAGTACATTACAATCCACGATTTTTGTCACTTCCTTCATCATCTTCACATGTATCGATGTTTCTTTCTTTTTGGTCCTCCTTCCATGCTGCAGAATTTTCAGACTTTTTAGGCATCTCTAAAAATTTTTATGCTTTGAATTTGCCTATTTTTATTTTATTACCTTCTGTATCACACGATTTTCTATGTACTGCACTTATTGATGGCCTCTGTTTTTTAAACAGTCAAAATGCATAATTGCACTCGCCAGGCGTTGAATCTGAGATTCCGTGAGGCCTTGTCAAACCAGCATTGTGTAACAATCTTGGCATTCAGATTCACGTTATGGTTCGTTTGATATAATGCCAGTTGTTTCAGATTCTCTATTTCCCAGTACATTCAAAATATTGGTTTGAATTGCGGGGCAAAATAACGATGGATGCCGAGAACAGGACTGCCAATATAATTACACATTGTAAATACATTGCTTCAATTTTCTTTTTCTTTAATTTGGAAACAAATATTTAATCTCATTCAATCCTCTACTGGACATGCCACTGCAATCTACCCTTTGCAACCTATGAATCCAAGCATTTGTGAATCGACTAACTCTTTAATGTTGTCAGTATTGTCATTAATTGTCCAAACTTGTGTGTCCTCCAAGAATCTATGCAAATTTATATTTAGCACATTTATGATGCTTGCTCATGTGGGATCATGAGTTTAAAAGTAATTATCAGGGCTAGGGTTTTATGTAATTACGTATTTGTTCATTACTTACTTTTGTATTATATTCAAGGCTTTTTGAAGTCAGTTCAAAATTATTTGATTATCCATATTTGTCAATATATCCAAGTATAGTAAATCATAATTTCTAACACAAAATTAACAGTTTGTTTCCTACATTTACTGTTTGTAAATACTGGTGTAACTTCCTAATTTTACACCATCCAGGGGTTAAAATAACTACTTCGCAAATATTATCTCAGTGTACTATTTGAGCCTTTAACAAAGATAATTTGCAAATGATGTTGCCTGTTGTCTTTAATTCGTACATAGAATAAGGTCTTTTCCATTCAATTACAATACATTATATTGGGGGTGTAAATTTTGTCAATTTGTATATTGGGGGAGTAATTGCATGAAAAGTACTTCTTGATCTCTTAGTTTGATGGTTAAGGAAGTAAGTGTATCAAATCAGAAAACTGGTAGAATTGACAAACTATTATTATTATTATTATATGCATGTAGGCCATTTCTGACTATGCTACTTGTTCTCTTCTGAGGCTCAGCCATATTCTATCCTGGAGAGAGATTAACGTACGTAATTATAGGGATTAGCTTTTCGTCTGTATCTCTTTGTGAGACAAGGTTGTTAGGTCTTGAATTATGAGGTGATAGAATCATGACAAGAGGTGATCGTGTGCTTTTTGAACCTTCCCAGCATTTGCCTGTATGACAGAGGAAAACCACAAAAACCCTGGTCAAGATATACAGCATTGAAAGCTTTCACGGCCGGAGTCAATATTCTTCATGCCTTCGGGCTGATGGGCTGTGGTCCAATTGGCTTTGAACTGCCAAATGTTTCACCCATGACTGCGGTGGGCATCCTCAGTGACGAGGTGTCCGGGACGGTGGCTGACTGGCGACTAACGCCTGGACAGGATGTCTGGCCAGGGATCGAAACAGGACCTCCCGACTGCTAAGACAGTCACTACTCACAGAGTCACTTTGCTTGGTTGTTATTATTATTATTATTATTATTATTATTACACTCATTTGTATTAATTAGGCTTTGAAATACATGATTACTGGGGCCTGGATTCTTAGGTTTTTACCTATTTTATTCCTTATTTTGTAACATTATTTTAATGTATATTTTGGTTTCAGTTACTTCTGAGGAATATGTGTAAATCCTATAGGTCTTAAAAAAGGCTAAAACGTAGATCGTAAATGAGAATAATTTTGTGGGAGGGGGAAGTATTCAATGTTGTCATAAGAAAATTTCTTCAGTTTGATAAATTTACTAAGGGTTGGATGCGCCATTTAAATTTGCTCACTTTTATGCTACTGTTGAAAAATTAGAAGGTATTTATATAAATGAAGAGAAAATTGTTGTTTTAAGAAAGGAAGGTACTGGGAATGTAGATAATGTGTTCATATCAAAAATTCAACACAATCGTGGTTATGCAAAAATGAAAAATATAAGTGCAGATCTTCCAGAAGAGAGATCTGGAGAATTATAGGGAATTTTTGGAATTAAAAGCAGTGGATCTATATCAGGGATTCCTTTTTATTTCATCAATCCCTTTTAAGAGAATGCTTCATCACCCCCTCCCCCCCTTTCTTTTAGGTTTTCTCTATTTTTTACTGCGTCCATAATCATGACAAAGAATTGGGCATTAATGCCTTGAAGAAACCAATTTCGTTCCCCAATATTCTCGTATGTATCTGGATTCTTTCATCATCAAAAACATTTCCATTTTTTGATTTGCTGATTTTATTCATGAAAATGCAATATTTATAAAATGTTGAGTTTTGTAAGAACTGGCCATCACATTTCTCCAGAGTATGGTGTGGAGAGTACTTTCTTGAATGAAAGAGTCGTCAATGTGTAGTTATAATTTCTTGAAATTTCTAAATTCTAATTCCTAAGTATGAAAGACGGATTCTAAAAAAAAATTAATTTGTAATTTATTATTATACATTTTGTTGCATTACATCAAAAAACTTAATAAGTTCCTTGTTTATTGTAATCAATGAGATCTTAATTATTCTGACAAGGCGCTGGTTCATAATTCTGCTATTGACCCTCTTGATCTTCATCGACCCCTTATTTTTCGTCTTCTAAACTTAGGTACTGGAGTTATCCACTTTTTCATTACCATGGCACTGAAATAAGAGTTTTTCTGCCAAAAATTCACATTTTTTTTTGTGCAGCATTTCATAACTTTCTCTCTACTATGTAGCAAGAAAGTTAAAATGGTGTGTGACACACGTAGTAAATGTGATTTTATTTTGTTCGTTGGATTGTGCCACTCGGTCTGTCACTGTGTCACATTTCCTTCTCTCAAAATAAAAAGTCACTTTTACACAGAATGAGGTGCCAGTGCTGTCGAACTACAGTTTTGGCTGTTAAGGAATTGAAGTACACTGATGGTCAATAGTGGTCAAAGAGGAAAGGCAAATTAAAGAAATGAAAATGAGAATTATATCAAACTATATCCGAGATTAAATGAAGATTTAATCTCGTACAGGAAAAGTTCTTTGAAAGATTTTCGGAGGAAGGGATTCGAATTGTACCACTGAGCTTCCATTATATTTTTAAAGACTTTTTACTGAATAATAGTTGTATAAAGCACTGTTATCCTCAAAATAAGCTGTTTGTTTGTCATTACCTACATCTCATTGGACCAGAGGACAGTAGTATGTCAGGAATCTTATGTACCCTTTATTTTCTAACCTATAACAAAATATATGAAGCTTTCATTATATGTATATATGAGGCTTTAATCAGCTCATTTAACTGGGTGTCAAAATTCTCCAAAGCTCCTACAAGAGCATCTTTAAACTTTTATTTGACATCTTGACCCTTATGAATGATATTCAAGGAAGCAAGTCCAAGTACACACCTTCATGCTTGAAAGGACTGCTTTTTCACTTCCCCTCTCCAAATATTTTTCATTTTTCTTCTTTGTATCTTTAGTGTGGGTACTATGATATTTCTGTTACACAATACAAATGAAAGAGAAGAAATGGATTTGGCTTAGAAAAAAATGTTCTTCAGTGCTTGGTGATAGTTTGGGAAAGAATTGTTCTTGACATAAAATTGTGAATGATGTTTGTCAAACTAGATTCAGAATATACTCTCTTTTCATTGATATTAATTTTATATTTCCTTAAAAAAATTAAATGATTTTTTCAAAATCAAAATTCATTTTCATGTGATTTAGATCTTTTAATTGGTAAGGTAGGTTTATTGTGTGGTATCACTATTTTGTTTAAGGTTTTCTTTCCCCTCAGTACCTGGCAACTATAATTACGTTAATATTATAGTTCCTCCTTATTTTCCTCAAAGCACTTCGTTTTCACCCAGTATCGGTAACTGTTGGTGCAACATAAACCCCCTGTTGAAGGACATTTTTGATTTGTGTAGAGGAAATAAGAATTCAGGTTTGGAAATAAACTTTATTTCATTGTATTTCATTATAGAACATGAGTATCTAAATCAGAAACACACTGATCTACAAGGGCTTGTACTGGAGGCATTTTTCTTGTGTACTTTTAACTGGGAAATTTATTGGCTTAACTTTTAAGATGATAGACACTTCCAGATATTTCCCAAGGTACTATTAAAATTCTTAATGAACACTGATTACCATCAACAACTGACAACATCTACGATGACTGTATTTCTTTGTTACAGAGGTGATAAGCAGGTGCGGATCCACGGGAAGGGAAATGAGGGAAATTTCTCCCGCTAAAATTTTTCAGTAACTGTTAATTTTAATTTGTCATGATACTTTCAAACAAATATGTTTTTGAATAATTATTAAAACAAATAAAATTGTATTGCAGCAGGAGATGAGTGTAGCCTGTGACATTCAACAAAATCTGCAATGACACATTCAACCAAAAGAATTTTAATTTCTGCTCCTAAAAAGTCTCTGGATCCGCCCCTATGATAAGATTATGCTTAACTTACTAAACTATTTTGGAAGCTGTTCATTTTGCTGGCAAGCATCAATTTGAAACTTTGGTTATATTGATGTGTGAAAGTGATTTTAATGTAATTAAGATTAGATCTTGTGCTTAAGATTAAAAGTTTCTTATTTTGAAGTGAAGGATGTCTGATATATTTACAATGTTACAATTTTTTATGTGAAGCCAATTACAAGTCAAGTAAATTAAAAGAGAAACAATACATTTTTCAGTGTATTATTTACCAGTGATACTCGAACAGCTATAATCAAATTTCCTAGATCATTGCATTTGACAGTAACCAAAATACTGAAGAGAAACTGATATAATTTCTAAAATATGGTATGAATTTAGAAACATCTAAAGTTCTATCAAGTGGCACAGAAAAGGCGCAATACATTGTTAATAAATTAGTGGTGTAGAAAATAAAATTTTGGGCTTTGTTTCACATATGGCTATAAATTTTAGTGAACTATTTCTTCTCAACTTCCCTTTTACAGCCCATCAGTTGAGACGGCTGTATGTTGGAATGTGACTCTTTGAAAGAGACATAGGGACAACTTGTTCTTGAATAGTTTCCTAATTACTGTTAGTACACACGCACACACACATCGACTAGAGAGATGGAGGTTGTTGGATCTGCTTGGGCTGAAATATAAATTGCCATCCATGCTGAGTTGTAGATGGCTGGCTTCACTCCTTTTTTTACTATGCACAAGGATGCGAGTTCATTGCAGATCCCTCATCTTCCAGCAGTGCCGCAATATTAAAGTGAAGATTTCTTTTGCAGATTTTCCACTACCTTGAGTCCTGTTGAAAATACAGATATTAAATTTGTTGTTAAATATGATGATTCATTTACCTAATACTCAAAGATTGGTTAGAAAATGTTTAGGAAGTCTTTAGTGCACTGTCAAATGTATATTTGCTGTGCTATTTTTATACAAATGGTTTAAAATTTAATTTTGAAAATAGGTATATTTAAATTATTGAAAAACTTCATTGTGCTTATTGTTTCTCGTTATTATGAAACCCCAGATAGGTGGTCTCGATGTGTGTTGATGTGCATTGGTCAGATTTTATTAAACACCAAGTGTTCTAGATTAGCATTGTAGCTTTATGAGAGAATTTTAAGAGCTGTGATAATTTAATAATATCAGAATTTTGTCAGGAAATGCAAGCAGTAAGGTGAGAGAATCCTGTCAGATGAGTATATATTACTTAATGAAGAGCCCTGTAGGGCAGAGTTTCTAGCCAAGTGTTTTAATAATTTCATTTGCATCTTTATTTTCAGTACATTTTCAGATGGGCATGTCTTTAAATGGTAATTGAGTCTATATGTCCCTCACAGTTAGACCCTTTCCAATCAACCCATCGAAATAAATGTCTTTTGAGTTGTGATCTTGAGGTGAGGAATTGATCTCTCTCTCTTTCCTTCTTTCTCTTTCTTTTTTTTCCACGAATTTCTAAGAAATATATCTAAAAACATGTTTATTTGGCTGTTTTCAATAAAGCAATGGAAATACATGGTTTCAATGCACCTATGAGGATGTTGGTGAAACACCATGGATCTCTCGTTCTGATATATACATGGATCGTTATGAATTGATTATTCAGATTGTTAATAATTAATCATATTTTTCTAATGCAACCAAAATTTTAACAAGTGTTATCTTATTCAGCCAATTATGTTCCTCTTTTCTTATACTTAGTGTGTTAGAATAAAAACCTCAGGTGTTTACTCTAGTTTAATTTATTTTTATTATTAATTTATTATTATTATTATTGTTGTTGTTGTTGTTGTTTATTTAAATTGAATAGAAACTTAAGCTACAATGCTAATATCAAAAACTCAGTGATAATTCAAAAATTATCAGAAAGTACACAATAAAATATTTTGGGCTTCTGGACATTGAAGAGTTTACAACCATTATTAGTAAGAATCTCAGCATTAACTGAAAATAATATCGGTCAAAATGGCAATATTGTTTATGAAGAACTTGCCATGACCTGGCAGCCTGAAGGATAAATGTCTTCGTATTAAAAAATGCTAAAACAATAATGCCAAAGATAATTTATTTGAGAAGTACCATTTACAAAATAATGCTACAAGAGGAGGTGAAGTATAAACCAGAATACAAATGAAAAGTCAGCAGTAAATTTTATAGGGATCCTACAAGTTATATTGGCCAAAGTGTAATAAGAAGCAAATTGAAATTGCTTTTATTGAACAGGACATCCTGAAGAGGTGGTGTTAATGACCAGAAATCAATCACAAAATATGTGGTATTGTAAAGACAACATACTCACTGTCACTTCACAGAGATTCCCATGGAATCCAGGTGGGCAGTAACACACTGCTTTTTCATCGAAGATAACACACTTTCCCCCATTTTCACATTTTTCTCTGCATCGCTCATATTCACAGAAATCACCTATAAGAATATGATGGTAAAAGTCAGAAAATACACCACAAACAAAAAATGCAACTAATTTGTGTGTGAATAATAAGTTAGAATGTCCTACAGTTTGTAATTTATAGTCATGTTTCTTCAACATAAACTTTAATTTCTAGTATGTGGCAATAATGCTCTTGGAAGAACGATTTCCACAAAGTTAAAGGAGAATTCAAGTTGCTGACATTGACAGATTTGACAGATTTGATCATTTTGCCTTCAGATTTTACATAAGTACTATATGTTTGTTATTCTCGCTCAGAGCAGGGCTGTTCAGAAGCAATATTTCAGGCAAATTGACCCATGAGTATTCGCTTCAGTGGCCTGCATGGCATTCCGCTTAGTCTGCTTTTCTCCTCCTTTTCCCTCTACAGCACTGTGGGCATTGCCCCCCTTCCCTCCCCCGTCCCTCCCCCATCCCTTCTTCAAGCCTGATTTGACCAGGAGTGGGCCACACCGGTTACCAGCTGGCTTGGAGTTTGTCAAGTAGGCCTCCCCCTTTAGCAGCCCTGTCCTCCTATTTTAATATGGAACTGATTTCATATACCGAAATCACATACGTTTTGTATAAAACAAATTGAAATTCAGAAGTTGGAGTGCAACTTTTAAATGTGTATAAATTCTAAAAGTTTATCTTTTCTATTGTTATACTTCTCTTTATTTCTGTAATTGATGAAAATCTACCTTCTCGGTGATCTGGACAACGACAGATGGCAGGTGCAGACTTGGGTCCACGAAGACATGTGCCACCTTCTTTGCAAGGATTTGGATTGCATGGATCACCATGTGACCTGTAAATCAATTATTCGTGTTATTACTAAGATCTTAAAACAATGATCATGTTGAATTTTCGTATGCATTACCTTTTATGCAATCCTGATCTCAACTTGTGTCTCCTTCGCTTGTGGCCTGCTTCTCTTTGTATTGCATTTGGATGATCCAAAGCAATACCTCCAATATCTTTGAAACAAAAGTATTTATTATGTGGAAATATTAAATCAATCTAGAACTGAGTAAGTAAATTGATTTTAAATTGAAGTTAAAACATGTTTATGAAAGGTAAAAAGAGAAAATGAATATCACTAGACTCTCAAACTGATTAATTTTTAAATGTCGAAGCAATCAACAGACTGAAGCTTATGTAATGAATGTAATTATGAGTTAATGAATTGTATTTCAATGTAATTGATGATGCACACCACCATTTTTTATTTACTTTTCCTAATGAAACATTACCTTTGAACTTATATGAAGGATTCTTTCCTCTCTCTCTCTCTTTTCTTTTTGGTGTGTACAGGTCATATTTTTGGTGACATTAACCATCTAAAGTGGGAAGAATACTTTACTTGTGGTAAGAACAGTAAATAATATTTTCTTGGAGATTCATGGGTTTTAATGACCTGGTAATATTATATATTTTTTTAAGTAAAATAAGTTGGGTTGTGTTCAAGAACATAATAGAGATCGGACATACTTATTGAAGAGATAATTCCACCTTCTGAACAAACTTTGGTTATATTCTTCTGAATTACTTAATTTCATTCATGGTTTTTAAAAGTTTTTTTTTTCTCCCCAAAATTTCAGTAAATTGTCATTTTAATTATGTGATTAATCAGTGATGTATTTAATTTGCATTGAATGTATAGAAAGCCTTTTATCAGAGGCACTACAGCATAATTTCCCAAAATGGGTTTTAATGCCTCTGTTGGGAACTGCAAATCTCAGGGAAGTAGTATGAATCTTCAATGAAACTGGATCGTAATGGATGAAAAGGGAGTTGTGAATACAACAAGTGATGGTGTTGCATGTTTTGTGTATTGTACATTTCAGAATTAAAATGTTGCTTATAAATGAGGAACAATTACAAAACAAAATTTTTTACTTCAATTGGTATACGTATTTATTTAAATGATATAACATTCTGAAATAGACATTAGGAAACTTGGAACTCCATGGTCAGCTTAGGGGGACAGTAAACATTTATAAAAAGGCTACAAAACAACTATATAATTAGATTTTGAAAAACTATACTGGAAGGAAAAATGCTTAAAGAGCCATTAGAAATTCATGCTAATTTTTCTACTCATCCTGTAGCTTTATGAACCTGTTTGTACATACATGTTTGGGATCATAATTATTGTTTTGTAAAAAGAAAATATAAGATCTTTATTTTGGGTACACGAAATGTTGGTTACTACTCTGTTGTTCCAGTCCTTTTAATTTTTGTAATGCTAACTGTATTTGTTTATTAGGAATTTTAAAAATTAGATGAGATCAAACCAATTCTTCCTCTCTCTTGAGTTTATGTTTTGCAGTTTGTTATTGATGTTTGTTTTACTGTTCTACAGCCTTTAAAGATGTTTACATTCAAGTAATATAGTAAAGCTTGCTCAATGCAGAATCTCAAGGTACTAGTAATTTTTTCTCTATTAAATAAGATTATGCAATGTAATACTGTAGAATTTATGTATGGCAGGACTGCAATTTATGTTCACAGTAGACAGATTTCCGCATTATACACGTTTTGCTTTGAGCAAGTTTTACTGTACTTAAATAATCAATGTATTATTACTTGGGGAATGAAAGAACAACATTAATGGGGAACCTCATGTTGATATTGTTTTATCTGAAGAATTACATTACAAGACACTTTATACTTACTTATGCAAGTAGGATCTACTGTACTATTCCATGCACCATCCTGACATAGGATAGTTGTGAGGTGATACTGAGTTGCTGGAATTTCATATCCTGCATCACAAACGTATTCACACTTTGCATTTTCTGGCAAAACTTGGGAACGAGTTTCTTCCAAATGTGCTTGGCAAAGCAGTTGTCCATGTGGAGGACTCATTGGGGCAGGACAACCCTTTGAAGCTGAAAAGGGGAAATATTTATTTGCATTTTTATCTGGTTACTGTGAGGGGAATAATTTCAAGTAAAAGGCTCTCAAGTATATCATAAATATTCTGACAGTTTCCCCGAATTGTTATAATTCATCAATAATTTGGTAAATGTTAAGTATGAGAACAAGACCATCAATTAGAAAAATATTTCTTTTAATAGATTCTTATCCCAGATAATAAAAATAATAAATTTATGAGCTGAATAGAAAAACAACTTTTTGTGATAACTATGAATTTGTTTCATTGGTGATGCTGTCTCTACAGAATGCTATTGTGAACTCTCTTGAATCTGGGAATGACGTGTGAAAACACAATTATAATTTGCATTCTTTTCTCAATACTGAGAATTGTCATATTGAGTATCATGTACAGAGAGTTCTCTCTTTAAAAGGGATTGGAGGCTTACTCAAAGGTAGGATTGGATACCTTGTGAGCAAACAGAGCCTGTCAACATCAATAAAAGAAATTGAAAATATTGACTGGTATCATCTTGCTTTCTCACTGAAGTTTTTATCACTTCCTGGTCCTGGAACCTCCTCTTGCTGAGAAAGACAAGTAATGTTGACCAGGCTTGCAGGCACATTTGCAGCATATGTGAGATTGATGCCAAGCAATAAATGGAAAATCATTAAGAAAAAGGCCAAATTAAGGCAAAATTCTAAAAATAGGTATCTGAAGATAAAATAAGCAAAAAATGGCAAAATGAATATCTTCAAAAACAGAAGTTTAGTTAAGAGATTTCAATTGTCAAAAGTATTAAAATCATAACTGTAATAAAAAAGCATTTTGCCTAACTTCCATGCTATATTGATGAGTATTAAGTTTATTTACAAATGCCGGATATTTTAAAATCGTTTCCACGATAATAAAAAGGGACTCATTAGATTCAAAATGTTAGATGTTGGTAATTTTTACTGATGCATTTTTCTTTCTGGACAATAAAAACATTGGATGCCACATAATTTCATTGCATACCTTCACAAACTGGTATGTGATGTGACCATGACAGGTCATCCATACATTCTGATGAAGATTGCCCTACCACATGTAGACCATTGTTACATGAAAATTGACATTTTGATCCCCAAGAGTTGCCAAGAGAACACTGCACTGTCATGTGTTTTGGTAGCATCAATGGTGGACATTTTCTTACTGCAACATTCAGATTTTTACAAAATTTTATTAGTTTTCATAATGTAATAGGTTGAGTTCACATGAGATTTCTTTGCACTCAACGACTGTTGGAAGTCTGGGCAAACACTGTCATTTTAATGATTTTCAATTACTCAGTTATCTCATGTGATCTCAACCTATGCAAGTTAGGTACTTTATTTGCCAATGAACTATAATTTTTTCAATTTCAGAGTTATGAACAATATTTCAAAAAAAGAAAATGTGAGAATTTCCAATAAAGATTCAAACACAAATATTTGATTATGAAAGATGTTGAAGCATTTGATATTTAAAAATACATTATCATTTATAATATACTGTATTGTTGAAAGTTCATTAATAAATATGCATTTGCAATGCAATGCAATAAATATGCATGCAATATAGGTAATGTGAGAACTAAAATGGAAAATTTACCTAACACATTGAGTTTCATACGACAAGTCTGAAGAAGATGGTCTTTGTAAGAAACTTGGCCAATCATAATGTGGTGGCCCTCTTGAACAAGACTGCCTGGTTTGGGGCCTTGAATCCACTCCATTCGTAAATCTGGCAACTTAAAGCGGGGCCTGAAATGTAAATGAAAACATTTAGGGTTCTGTTGATGTTAATAAGAAATTACTAGAATTTTAATAGGTATGTTTATTGTCGAAAAAGCTTTTTATGGCTGTGGGATTGATTTGGAAAATAATAAGCAAAAGTAAGGATTGAATTGATAAATTTATCCAACAAACAAATTAAATCAAGTAAAATCTGGAAAACAAATTCAGAAAACTGACAATAATTGAGTCATTTTGGTATCATAAGTAAGTTGTTTTCTAATTTTAATAAAACTGACCAACATTGATTCTTTCAGAGACTGATGGAATTTTACTCTTAATATGTAGGTACTTGCAATACTTTAATTAAACCAACACTCAACTTTTAAACAGCCAAAAATAAAATTATATACAAATCAAACCCTCATCTAGATCTATAATAGTTTTGCCTACAATAGTTTTAGATCTACAATATACCTCCTTTTTCTCACACATATCCATCCCTTTCCTTCTTTCAACTAGTTCTCTCATCTACTTTTCACCCTTTCACTTGCTGTAAATCACTTGCCACACTTCCTGTCATTCTGTAAAATTTCTCTATAACCTGTCACATCCCCTTTCTCTCACATTCTTGCCACCCTTATGATCATCATATAAAATTTCTCTACAACATCTTCGATTCCTTGAGCCTGTCATATTTTTGGTAGACCTTACCAATATAAATTCCCACATTTCTACCTATTCCCTCCCCACAACAAATCACATTTTCCCTAGACCACCAGTACATCCTTCCCCTTAGTTTGTTCTTACATCTAATTATTTCTATAATTCTTCTACTTATTATATTATATTATACTACTACTTTCTTTTTAAACATCTTAGGATGTCTTCAGCTCTAAATTCTTTGTTCCCTTTGTTATATTTAGAATTCTCCTTACAAATTTTTTGACCCTGGAGCTTTGTTTCTTTCATTAAGAACTTTCCTTCCATCTCTTAAAAGATCTAGACCTCTTGTGTGTAGAATATAAATAACCTCTTTCTGTGTAGAAGTTTTCTCTTTTCTCCTTCCTCGCTGATCCCTTTTTAATGTTACCCTTCTTTTTCTGCTTTTGACACTATCTCTCTATTCCTCCTCCTCTTTCCCCTTCCTACCACAACTTGCCTCATAGCCTTTAGTCTTAACTCTTGTTTTTCTCTCAACTTCTCTCTTCTTGTTTCTATTGTAGCTAAATATCTGGGTGTACTTTTATCCAGCCCTAGATTCCATTTCAGGGAATCTATCCTGACACTTACGTACATTTCTTCCTTGCCTTTCATCTTCAAATATTTGCTCCCCACTCTAAGAAACTTCTTATTAGAGAATCAAATATTTTCATCCCCTTTTTCCAATTTGTATTCAAACTTCTTTTAATAATCTCCCATATTTTCCTTATCACTGAACCCCCTTTCTTTGCATTCTCCCTTACGTATCCTTTTAGCTTGCAATAAAAAAAATCATAAGTATTTAAATTATTTGTTTTAAAGCAAGCAAATTATTTTGCTTGCTCAATTCTTGTCCCATCCATCCACTTTTTCCTAGTCCTACCTTCTTTTATTTACCATTATCTCACTCTTGTCTTCACTTAACATCACATCTTAACACCAAAGAATTTTTATAATTACTCAAAATGCTCTTCATTTTTCTCTCTTCTCTAACCAAACTAACCATTACATCATTTGGATATAATAGAGATCATATCCTGTTTCTTCCTATGCCTTTACTGTCTTTCCAGTTAACCCTTCTCAATCCACCAAGTACAGTCAATTCCAATTATAATAAACTCTCGGTTATAGTGAATTTAAGTCACCTTGCATTACAAATTAGCAAAAGAAAAGATTCAGTTTTAGTGAACCTCAGCTATAGTGAACGTAGGAAATATGTCTTCGAAATTAATTCCCTCCTGGAAAAAGAAATATATCGTCACAGTGCCACAAATTCCAACACATGCTAATACTGAAAGTATCTTGTTATGTTATTAGGCAAGTAAAAGGCCCTTTGGTGAGTGGGATGATGTTCCAACAGAGCAAAAGGCATTGAAGGATGTGAGAACTGTGAGAACTCTGAGATACTCAGAGACAGAGGACAGTGTACGATCAAGTATGGGGAGAGCACAAATGTTCGAGAAGGCTCTAGAGAAAGTAGAAATGAAAAATGTACAAAGCAAACAATTGAAAATAATTCATTTTTTAAGATTAAATAAATATATTGAAATGTTCAATTGATGCTGTTAATGTTGCTTCTTTGTATTAATAAATTTAACCATTGTGGAGAAGTTCTATTTAATTTTGAAATCATCAGATAAAGTGAATCTCTGATATAGTGAACCAAAAATGTTAGGCCGCAGAAGTTCACTACAAACCGGAGTTGAGTAGGCTGTACACATTAATCAGTAGTGAGTTCAAGGAACAGTCCTGTCCTACTCCCCTATCTAAAATTCTTTACTCTCCCTTTTATTCACATGCTCTCTTCATCTTGTTTCCTCGTAAATTACTATTTTATAACAGTGAATGTGTGAAAAAATTTCAATCTGATTTTGTTGTTGTTGTTTGTTTATGGCAAATAATTGGAATAGTAATCTGTTTTATACTTTTTTTTTATTTTTATAATTTTAGTTTTTGTTTTAATAATGTTGGAATACTATTCCTATTAAACAAGATAACAGATGTGAACATATTTTTTAAATCTTGAATGAAAAAATACATATTAAAAATAAACCAAGTTTTATCTCCTATCTAGAAGAAGATATTAAATAGTAACATTTAACAATATTTTCAACTTGATATATCTAAAAATATTATTGTTGGACTTAGTAAATTTATCATGTTCACTGATGATATCCTTTCTAACTCCCTTTTCTTTACATAAAGAGTCCTACCATCTTGATTCTTGGTACTTCTTCCCTTCCTTTTTAATAACTTTCTTATAAATTGTCTCAGCTGTTACTATTACCTCCATTTCCAATTATTATTAGCATTTCCCTTCACTTCTGTAAGTGTCCATTACCTTTCTTGACCAATTCTCTCTCCAAATAATCTTCCCCTGTTCCTTTTCATAAGTGATGGATGATCTGTATTTACTCTTTCTTCCCTATGTCTATTCTTAACACTTCTTATTACCTTTCTTTTAGAGTTCCCTTCCCTCTTTTTCAAATTGTATGTCCTCTTTTGTCATCCTCTCAAATGATGTTCTACAATTTCTCTTTCACAAATCCTAATCATTTCTCACCCTATTATTTACTTTCTTGTCTTTTGTTTTTTCTTTGGCTTGATCTCCTCTCTCCAAACCATCCTTCCTCTTTCATTCCCTGTTCTAGTATCAAAATCAATGTATTACAGTAAAGTAATGAACTATACCCCCTTTGTGTATGATATTACCAAAAATTTCCATATCAATATCCCTCCCCCCTCCTTTCTTATTTTTGTCTCATTTCTTTTTCACATCTCCCTGCATATCCCTCTTTCATATACCCTGAAGACATTTTCCTTTCTATCATTCTACATCTTCCATGAGATTTATCTCAGAATTGTGAAAAATGAAGTGATGAGGTGTTATATTTAGAAAATATAAGTGGGAACTTAAAATATGAAATATTTTAACAATAACACAATACAATATTTTAATATTTCATATTTTAACTTTAAAATATTAAATATTAAATTATGTTTAAGTGTTAATTGCTTAAGAGCTTCTTTTGAGTTCTAAAATTAAAAATATTAATATTATTTAATTATATCATACATTAGTTTAGTTTTATTATCATTAAATATTAATTTATTAACTAAGTGTAATGCAATAGAAATACTGAAAATAGAAAATAATGAGTTTGATGTCTAGTGTCTAGTCCCGCGCCACATACCCATGAGGACACGGTCGCAATTCAGGTTGCTCTAGTAGAACCATCTGTCGGCCTCGGCTCGCGACAACCGCGCGATCTCCCGGACAGCGCACGCACGGCAGCGCTCCCACGGGGGAAGCGGGAGCATCGTGTACTTCTTGAGAGTAAGGGTCTATGCGGCGAGCAGGTACCTCGACGTTGGTGGTGCTGGTGCTCGGCGCTACCGCACGAAGAGAAATTCCACGGCCGGGTGGGGGCGGCACTACCGACGTCGTGATGGTTCCACGATATGGCTGCAAAACAGAGGAAATTAATATTTCGTGCTTTTTTTGTCGATAGTTTTACCAACGTTAAAAGTGTGGAATAAAATATTTTGTTAATAGTTCGAATTATAGCAGACGACTTCAGAAATTCAGTTTATTGGACTTGCCTTTTAGATTTCAATCATACAATCGATTTGTTGCAGTTACTATGGGCAGTCGCGGATCCACGGGGAGGGAAATGAGGGATATTTCCCCCTCTAAAATGTTTCTGTAACTATTAATTTTAACTTGTCCCGACACTTTAAAGCAAAAATATTTTTGTATAATCATTTAAACGAATAAAATCGTATCGCAGCATGATCTGAGTGTAGCCTGCAACATTTCACAGAATCTGTAATAACATATTCGACCAAAAAATTGTTGGTTTCCTCTCCCAAAATTTGTCTCTGGATCCGCCCCTGCTGTTGGAGATTTCATGTAGGTGAAATCCTTGTGCATTTTCCCCTGTAGGGTATACGACATATCATCTTGCCCTCTGCATCTCTGGAGAATGTTTCCTTATTCTGTATTCATAAACAAAGCATCCTGGCAAAGTGTATATAATAATAAGGAAATCCATTCTTCAAACATCACAAAATCGTCATTCACCATCACCAAATTGCAATTCTGGTTGTTTTGTGAGCTTGGAGAGCATCAGAGCTTAAGATGTGAGCTTGTGAGCTTGAGACTTCGAAACACAGAATTACTTGGGAAAGTTGTTGTGTAGATGTTTCTGAGATAGTTGTGATAAGTGGGAATCAAAGAAAATGACAATATAAAATGATATGATAATTTTTCATTATCTAATATAGAATGAATTGGTAGAATTTGTATGAATTTTTAGGGGGTTAAAGCTGACTATGATCCTGGTGAGGCGGGAAGAATGATGTTCATAGTCCTACATTATCGAGACTTTGACCGTACCATTAAATACCAAAGGTGCCCCCACCACAGTAATGGGGTACTCCGTCAGAAGAGCAGAGTCTAATCAGCAAGTCCAGTCTTTCTCCTCCAGGTGGTTGCTTCTGTGTACTCTCTGTGGCGAAAGCTCAGAGAGTAGCAAGTGAGAAATGTGCGAGGGCGAGTGTGCGGCGCCTAAAGACGGGAACTTTGGGAAAGAAAATCCTGACAGGAAACCAAAGGGGGAGGAAGGCCTCCAAAGGTGTGGTGAAATCTCGTCTTCCTAGGGGATGTAGTACACCAAAGAAGAACCCCGGGTCCTCCATTTGGGGGTTGAGGCGATGGGCCAGTACCTCATCACTCGAAAAATCGAACTCGCTGAAAGTTTCAGTCAGCTGCGTCGAATCGACGCATTTTGAGGAATACGACTGCGCCAAAGGAAACGGATTTTGAATTTGGCAACTTAGATTGTACGAGATCTAAAGACAAAACAAAGGGACGTCTTTAGCGAGCTTGAAAAAATGAGCACTGATGCAAGAGACTTAACAGAAACTAAGGAAAAGGGATCTGGTAACGAAAAATCGCTAAATACATACATTTCTACAGCAATGTAAGAATGAAAAGGCAAAAAGGGGAGTGTCAATAGTAGTATGTCAGCAGTTACAACAATGTATAAGAGAGTGTAAAGAAGTACATGAGAGAATATCATTAGAAATAAAGAAAAATTGATGTTATAATAACAGGAGAATATACACCAACAGTTGGCACAGATTGATACATCAATATACGTTTTTACAGAAAATTGATATATGTTCTAAATTATATACACCCACGCAAGGAATTACATTGATGGTGGTTTTAATGCCCGAACAGGGAAAACAGAAAACCATAAGACAGTAGGGATATACGGGAAGTAGGTGTGTAATGAGAGTGGACAGTGACCTATAAGCCTTTGTGAATCTCATGATCTATTTTTTTCACAAAATTGACATATATTCTAAATTATATACTCCCACGTAAGGAATTACATTGCTGGTGGTTTTAATGGCCGAACAGAAAACAGAAAACCACAAGACAGTGGGGATATACAGGGAGGATGTGTGTAATGAGAGTAGATGGTGACTGAGAAGCATTTGTGAATCTCATGATATAAAAATATTACATGGACACTTTCCACATAGGGAAATCTGTAAGTTCACCTGGTCACAAACATGTAAACATCTAATATCTATTATCGACT